AAATGAGGCCCAGCTGTGAAGCAATGCAAGTTGCTGTGGGGCCTTGGGCCTTCTTTTGGATGTTCTGGGTCTCTGACCCAGCTGCAGTTAGTTAGGTAATTTCGTATTGCAAAGGGCCAGGGCACTTATATGCAAAAGCCTCTGCGCACAGCTTGGGTGGGGCAGGGTCTCAGGGAATCAACAGGGTGGAGCAAACAGCTATGGCTGATGCTCAGCCCTGCCCTAAGAGGCCCCGGGTCTCAGTGTCCTGGTAATTGCTGCAAGCACCTCTGAGAGAAAGCCGCCCTCAAGTTCTGCCCAATGCCAGACGGTCCAGTTCCTCACCGTATGAGTCTGGGTCCCCAGAGACTCGCCGGGAACTGGCGTTCAGAGCAGTCGGGAGCTTGTGTATCCCTCCTGAATGAAAAAGACAGCCGCGTCCTCAGTTGCCAGCTCTTTCCTCGTGTGCCTCCGTATCTCTGCACTTGATATTTCCACACCTCCTCTGCGTTTCAGTGTGCTTTTCTCTTTCCTTCTAGTTGTAGAATTTCCACTAGGCCAATCTTCCTGTGGTTCTGGATGATGTCCGTTTTGTCTTTTAGTTGTATTTTTGAAGTGGTTGTGTGAGGCAGCAATTTCCAGTGTTTACCTATGCTGCCATCTTGGTATCCATAATAATATTTTTAAGGCATATTTGTAAAGTAAATTATCTGTGAAAGTTTTGCATTGATTCATTTTCTGTCTTCCTTTTGGGAAAATGACCATAGATATATTTAAAATGCCTACTAAATTTAGGGATGGCGAATGAGGACATAGAATATAGCAAACCAAAAGGTCCTATTAGAAAAAGAACCAGTTACCTTAGTTTCCCAAGTTCTAGACTTGGATCATCAAACAGACAAATGTTATTGGGGACTATTCCTTCAGTAACACAAACAAAAGACTTACCAAACTGATGCCCTTAATTAAAGATATAATCAAAACTTACTTATAAAATGGTGAACTATTATAATGGATACCAGATGCTAGTACACAGAGCCAAATCTTAAAAACAGTTTCAAATTATGTGGAATATTTTTGCATGCAATTTTTTAAATCATGTATGTATTCCTTATGTTATTAAATGTATAAGCTTAATGTTTTACCAGTAATACACCCTACTGAAGAGTTAACTGGGATAGGAAAATCTATAGTTTGGATATAATTTACATAAAATGACCTGATTGACTTTATACTAACCGGTGTTTATAAGAAACATGAGGAAACACTACACCAAAAAGAGCCACGGAAGCATCAATGACTGAAACTCCGAGAGGAAGAGGACCAGGCACAGCTTCTCCAGCAGGTATTCGTAAATAAATGGAGGATGGGTCATGCTCCAGAGCCCCACTTCCGGATGCACTGTTTGGCTGGAGCTGCAAAAGAATGATATGAAAATCATTCAAAAATCTACTTTAGGAAATTTACTTACTAAGAACTGGGCATGAAGAATAGAACAGGTGAGGAAGGAGAAAACATAATAAAACAAAGAAGAACAGAATGATTGAGTTTGAAAAATTTTAAATAGGTAAAAATATAAAAAAGCCGTCAGTAACACCTTTTATAAATTTAAGAAAAAGATCCAATAAAATATATTTTAAAAAAAATTAAAAAATATATATATATATAATTTGGCCTTTTAAAAAAGCCATCAGTAACACCTTTTATAAATTTAAGAAAAAGACTGTTCATTCTAAAACATGTTTATGCTACCCACCTTAAAATGTGCAAAGCAAAGCAAAGGTACTTAAACCCACAAAAATTTCTTTAAATGAGGCTTTAGTAACTCCTTTTAAAAGTACATACGAGGTAATGTATTCAATGGGCAAAACAGCTCTAAATGCTCAACCTACTAACTCCCATTCCTCTCCAACCTGTCAGAAAACAAACTAAAACAAAACAAAACACCAATAATAAAAAATCCAGCTAAAACTGGTCTTGGCCATAGACACCACAGGTTATCTAAATATAAAGAATATTGAATAAAGAGAATTCACCAAATTCTAACTATTGCTGTTTACCTGTTTTCACTATTTGTTCACCACCAGGAAGCCATCTTTACATGTCTAAAAAAACTCAATGAAAATTAAACCTTAGTCTACAATATTTTCTTTTTAAGTGACAATGTGTAATAATAAAATGGTGTAAGTGAAAACCACCATGTTCAATTAAGCAAGTGTTTCAGTTCCCTGTATGGTTTACTACCTGGTCTTCAATTGATTTATGATCAGTTTCTTGCAGCCAGGAGCCAAGAAGAACACTATCATCATAGTGACAGAGGGATCTGAGGAGTGAAGTAGTTGTGTTGGCTGAATTGTCAGTCAAAGTGAATTCTGCCACCAGTTCTCTAAGAAGTGCATTGAAAGACCCTAAAACACAGAACTTCAGATCAGATTAAGAAGAATTTTGAAGAAAATCACAATCATTGCCCACAAAGAATAGCAACATGTTCAACAGAAATAAATAATAAAGTTCCTATTTCCTATTAAAAAATATGCATTAACTATTTCAATGCTATTTTTAATATACAATAATGGTATTTCCTTTTTTACTATTGTATTGTGCCTTTTAGCCCTAATTATTTAAAGTAACCAAAAAAACTCAAATAGAGAAAAGATTGTTCATTATAAATATATTAAATATGATGTGATTATTATTTTATTAATTACCCAATGATATACAAACACTAAACCAGAGCATGTCAAAATTCTTGGGCATGGTTGAACTAGAAACAAATCAAGGACTTATTTTAGCATTAACGTTTTATATTTTATTTAATTTCTGTCAAGTTCATTACTAGTTTACCTCCAGATTCCTACATTATTGGCAATTTTGTAATATATATGAGGTAGATTAGGATAGTTATTAAAAGCAGACTTCAAAGATGAGCCAGCTGGGTTTGAATACAACCTCTGCCACTTACTAGCTCTCAGATTTAGGCAAGTATATTACCTATATGTACCTAAGATTCTTCATTTTATAAAATAGAGTTAATCACCTCATAAGGCTGAGGTTAGAGTCAAAGATGTTAATACCGGTAAAGGGCTCAGAAAGGGGCCAGGAGCACAGTAATGCTGTGTCATAGTCTATATGAAGAAAAGGAAAATGGTTGTCTGCCTCTGCAGAGTAAGTCAGTGGAAGAGCCATGGTCAGAACTCTAAGAACCGGAAAGGGACATTAAGAAACTTTTATTAGCCCAGTCAGTGTGGCTAAGTGGTTGAGCATCGACCTATGAACCAGGAGGTCTGGGTTTGATTCCCAGTCAGGGCACATGCCTGAGTTGCAGGCTTGGTCCCCAGTAGGGGACGTGCAGGAGTCAGCTGGTCAATCATTCTCTCGTCATTGATGTTTTTATCTACCTCTCCCTTTCCAGTAGGGGGCATGCAGGAAGCTGCCAATCGATGATTCTCTCTTAATTGATGTTTTCTCTCTATCCCTCTCCCTTCCTCTCTGAGGTAAAAAAGAAATATTTTTTTAAAAAGAAAGAAAAACTTTTATTAGCTACCGCAAATCGTATTTACCTTCGTAAGTTTTTGGAGGTAATAAAGCCAAGATATCATACAGTCTTAAACGGACCATTGCAGCACTAGCTTTCAGATGAGCTCCATGAGCTTTAATTACAGATGGAATACTAAAATATCAAAAGTATGGTTAGTATCATCTTATTAGAATAAGTATTACTTATAACCATTTTTTTTAGCAATGTATCATAGTACTGACAAATTTACAGTGCTTCAATAAGTATTAGGTTTTCATTCAGTGTATTTTGTCACCTTTACTGTTAGTAACAGAAACATTATAAAGTAGAATTTTATTTCAATATATATCATTACTGCAATTTTAAAGGTCATTTTATAAAAATAAAGTTTTATATGTTTCCTATAGAATACTAGAGAGAAGTAAGTACAAAACATGACTATGTATCAATATGTGAAATTGGAAACTGTCATGATTGTTTACTTACTGCGACATCATAGTCATGGCACATTCAATAGGGGTCATCAATTTTCTAATCACATCTTCAGTTAGGAGTTCAGGACAATGTGCAACAAAACTCCTCATTGCTAGATAAAATTTTCAAAAGGACAGATTTGGAGCAGTTTTTGGGAGGATAAATAAATTTATAAAATTATATAAAGGTACCTACAATTCTTATTATAAAATATAAAGTTCTAAAATCAGGTAAAACCAAAAGAAGAACCAATTGCAACTATAGAGAAAAATCATTAGAAAAGGCTAGAACGGTGGGCAGCAAAACGGAGCGAGGGAAGATTACTTTTAGGGAGATTTCTGTGAGTAGGAATTCAGAAATCTATAACCCAACATGAATCTAGATGACTACAAAGAAAGAATTTTCCAGACAGAACCAAGAGTGGACACGATGTACTGACAAATTTACAGTACTTCAATACAGTTTCTTTCAAGGTGCATGAATTTGTGCACTGGGTCCCTAGTTATCTCATAATTAGCAAACTGGTGTACATTATTTACAAAATTTCTTTCTAAATCTAAAGGTCTACAAACTTTAAATTATATAGTAAACTTACATATAAGTTTATGTTACAAATTTACTACATATTAAAATAAAAATTTTAAGTAGTTCTTTTCCTTCACTTCACAAATATTTTCTTTTTTTACTGCGACATCATAGTCATGGCACATTCAATAGGGGTCATCAATTTTCTAATCACATCTTCAGTTAGGAGTTCAGGACAATGTGCAACAAAACTCCTCATTGCTAGATAAAATTTTCAAAAGGACAGATTTGGAGCAGTTTTTGGGAGGATAAATAAATTTATAAAATTATATAAAGGTACCTACAATTCTTATTATAAAATATAAAGTTCTAAAATCAGGTAAAACCAAGAAGAACCACAATTGCAACTATAGAGAAAAAACA